GCGGGGGGGGAGGAGGAGGAGGCAGAGGCGGCCCGGCCGACTTCGTGGCTCTCCTCCCTCCGGAGGTCAGCTCTCGGATTTTCAGCGACCTGGACGTTGAGAGCTTGTGTCACGCGGCCGTGACGTGCAAGGGCTGGCACCGCGTCATCGAGAGCAACGACCGCTTATGGAGGCACCACTGCTTGAGCGTGAGGGCTGTCTGCCAGCGGGAGATCGACTGCGATCGAGGAAACGGATATTCCTGGAAGGTAAATTTAACATCAGTGACGTAATGTCAGCAGCGCGGAGGCTTCTGGGAGTGTCAATAGAAATATGTAAAGAAATTACATCAGCACATCTCATCTGGCCCAGGCTGCTGGGAGAACTGCTGTCACCACAGCGTGGCTCGGTGGTGCACAGCTGGACACCTGGTTAAATATCCAGAGAGGCAAAAGCAAGGCTGTCCCATTTCCTACCCAGGTCACGCCTGGCCGCCCCAGCACACCCCGTTGAATCCTCACGTTGTCCCGCGTGACCTCAGCGCTGACATTCATTGTATCGAAGCCTGCACAGCCTGCACAGAAGAAAGCAGGGCCAGGGGGGAGAAGACAATGTACCCCCGCTAGGCAGTGCGTGCTCTCTAGTTGTATTTCCTGGGAATAGCTCTGCTGGTGAGGAATGACTTCCCAGAAATTCATCCCGGGTAACTCTGCCTCAGTGCACCCTGAGCAATGTGCATCCAGGAGAAAAAAAATGGGGTAGAGGAAACAAGCAGGAGCTCTGAGAAGCTGTTTCGAAACTCCCCCCATTAGAGCTGGTTGAGGAGTTAGGAGCTGAACACGCTGGGGGATCTGCCACTGTTGAGTCCAGCCTGCAAGCTGAGGTAGATCAGGAAGGGTGTGGTTTCACAGTTACTGCTCTGGACCAGCTAGAGGGTGATCCCCACCTCATTTCAGCTGGTGTGTTTGAGAACAGGGGTTGAAAAGAGAGAATCAGCAGCCAAAAAAAAAAAACCACCACCAACAAAAAAACCCACAACACCCCACCCACACAATTCTGGACTCTCACATTTCAGTAGAGTCGTTTCAGTACGAGGCAAAAGCCATGAGCAGGTAGTGGTTGCCCTTTGAATGCATAGACCTTACTGCTCTTGCACAGGAATTTCCCGTACTCCCTGCACTGATTCTCTATGTTATCTGGAGGGGATCTGAAGTAGAATCAAATGCACCAAGTCAGTATTTTTTTGCACTAAACGGTTGGCTGAAGAGTAGAATCCAGCCAGCCTGCATTAAGAGCCCAAACAAGAGTTAAAAATCACAAATAACCTAAATAGGAAGGGAAAGTGAAAGGCACCTCTTTTTATGAGGAATACTAATTCCTGGTTTAGGGTTTTCATCTTGATCCTCAAAGAATTGAGGCAAGAAGCGATTCTCCGCCCAACTTAGAACAGAAAAGCTGGGAGTAGACCAAGGTCTGCTTCTTGGCAGCAGTGCAACATCCTGGGCTTAGCGCCTAGATATCCAGAGACACATCCCAAATCCTTTTTCTAGCATTACTCTTTCAACGCAAAACTTACTTTATCAAATGCAACTTAAGTCAGTTCATTTCCATGATCTGAGCTGTCTGCTTTTCATCAGATCACATTACTGAGAAACTACTGGAAGAGCAAAGTGAAGCAAGAGTGGCTGAGTGGGAAGTACAGCAACATTCCTTCACAAAACAGCTTGCCAGAGAAAAGCATGTATCCAATGGATGTCGACACATGGGGAGAAATCCTGGAAGCAGAACTTGAGAGATGAGAAACCAGTGCTGGTTCTTGCAACTCAAGAACCTTCTATCAACAGCTTGCAGACTGCCAAACTGTAAATATTTTGCCATTCAAAATCAGTTGTGTTTACAAACATATGATGAAAGCTTCTCAAAAGAAAAGTTATGGGTTTTTATTTGCACTTTATCTGATTAATTTTCTGTAAAATTTGAAATAAGACTAAATATTCAGTTGTAATTTTGTATTTGTAAATTTAATGTTCTGCTGTGTTGTCAAAAAGATGTTGATTGTGCTTTCAGTTTGCACTTTTTATTTTAGAAGAGATAAAAGAAAAAAAAAAAAGTGTGTTTGACTTGAAGTGTGTCATATCAGCAGCACAACATGAGAGCCCACAGAGGAAGGCTGGGGAAGGGACAAATCCAGGAATTGGAAAGAAGAGAACAAGACAGCCACCGCAAGATCAGCTGAGCATCCCCAGTGCCCATCTCAAGGAATAGAGCCCTCACAAGGATCTTCTCTGAAGCTGCACCCACGGAGGTGTCAGATAGGGCAAAATTTATTACTTTAAACAAAATAACGTGGATAACTGTACAAGATAACACAACTTTGTGTATTTTTGTAGTCAGGCTAAAACACATTCAGAAGCTCTGTTTTCTCCTGTATGATGATCTGCCATCACGCAGGCGCTGCTTTACCAGCACTGATTTTTGGCACCAACTTTAAAAACTGCTGCTAGTAAAAAGAGGAGATGCCTGTCACATTACTTAACACAAAAGGGACCACAAAATCAATTTATTACAATTCTGTTTGAGTATCACCTTTATCTACCTACTTTGCACTAAAAAGTGAAGTAAATGAGAAAATGCTGGGAAGGTCCCTATTGCTTGAGGTATTCCTATCCAATTCAGTCACCAATCTGGGACCAATTTTCTATAGGAAGATTTCTACCATGCTTATGAAATTTCATTAATACAAAGTGATTTCAAATCAATTACGGTGGACTTCGGCAGAGGACCTTCTGGCAACGTAAGGACAGAAGTGTCCTGTCATACACATGAGGCTCAATGGCACTAGATCAGGCTCCTGTTAGATACAGTTTTACTTAAATGAGGTCCAGCCCTGACCTTTAGCGGGGGGGTGGGCCAACAACACTAGATGGAGCAGTAGAGCAGTTTTGCTTTTAAAATGCAAGCCATGGTCCTCTGGGCTAAGATCCAGGAGAGGTTTTTGTTCGATAGTGCTGGTGGTTAAACAAACCATTAGTTTAAACTTGCTTCCAACTTACATATTTTTACTTTCTTACAGTTATTTAACCATTGCAGAATATCTGGTGAAAATATCTACTATTTTTTACTCCCCTTTGTTGCAAGTGTCTGGGCTCACAGCCTATTTGTCGTAGGTGCCCGTATCTACAGGCCAAGGAAGAAACAGAACAGCCAGGCGAAAGTGGTAGTTCCAAAATGCTTCCAAGAACAGTATGTCACCTGATGCCTTTTCTAGGCATTCAACAGATTTCATCAAAACTGATCCACTTCCTTCAGCCTCCTACATTTTCCCCTTTAGAACAAGTTTTTGGTTCATAAGAACCAGTACCTATTCTAAATCAGAAGTAGCATATCAAATTGAGACAGCTTTCTCATCAACAACATTGTGTGACACAATGAAATGACTGGCTAATGTTTCTTACACACCTTTTTTAATTTATTCCTTACAGGTAAGTGTTAGTCCTAGGATCAGGATCCCATTGCACCGGGTTTTATAAAGCTGCATAGCCTCTCTCTTTACTACCAAAAGAGTTGACGCTGTTCTTGTGGGACAACTACTACGTTAGCCAAAATGGATGCAGTACCCCAAATTCACTGAAGCTGCCAAATACGGCTGAAGTGTAATATGGAATAAAGAGCATTGCTAAGTATAGTGACTGTAGCACAAAGCTCAATGAATTGCAAACGCTGCTTCCTTTATTATTAGCTATTCTGCTAAGATTGTATCTAGTTAGCTCAAATAAAAAAAAACCAAACCAAAACCAAACCACACCCAAGTACAACAGTTTTTCCACTGAGGGTGCTGCCTCACTCCCTTCTGACAGTATCTTTTACCCTGACTTTAATAGAGCTAGAAGTTAAAAGGTGCATATAAATTAATAAAAAAGAAAATAAGATTAGCAGTACATTCTCATCACCTCAGAAATGCCCAATTTATTAATCATAAGACAGGAAGAGGGCACAATAATGGATCTAGTCCCTCACCCTGCCTCCTGTTACCTCCAGTCTCTGTAACTCCCAGACATTTATCCCCTTTCTGCTCCTTTCCTGCCCCTCAGCTGTTGGTTCTCATATATTTGTCTCAGGATACAATTTTTAAATAGAGTAATTATTCTGGCATAAATCCTGACACAGAGTTGTTTCACTGTGCACTTAGCTGTAGCTTTTCCCCTGTTCTCATACAAGTGTAGGAATTGCCAGTATTTGTTTGTCATGCCTCTACCTTGGTCCAGATCAGGTGGCCGTGCCTCTTTAAACATACAAGGAATTAAACACTCAGCTATGCAATTAGGCAAGCCCCGGATCTTTAAACCTGGAGTAGCAGTGGTGTAAGTTTCTCATGAAAAATCTATTACCGAATTAAAAAAACCCAAGTATTTAAGTACAAGTTCTCATGAAAATAAAGCTTGCTTCCCCTCCCCACTCTCAGCCCCTCCTTTACGGGTTTTAATTTCCTCTGGAGATTTCATTACATCAATGCTGGTTTTCTGTTCTACCCCTCTCTGCCCTTGCACCACCTACACACCTACCCCGCAGGCTGGATGTGCTCGCTTCCCTTTA